AGAGTTGGGTTCAAGGGCTCTCACCACCCCCCCTATAAAAATTGTTCCAGTACCCCTGGCCACACCTCCTCTTGGCCCTGTGGTGTGTGGAGGAGGCCTAGTAAATAAACCTAGAGTTATTCTTCCCAAATGGAATCCAGGGCTTTTCTAGACCCCTTATGCCGCCACACAGTTTAAGGAGTTAGAGCAGAAAGGGGAATCCTTCCCCTGCAGTTGCATTCTTTGCAATGCTGAAGGTTAGACTGCTGTCAAATAAGTCAATGGAGAGCAATCTGTGGAAATGTGAATTACATAAGAAAGAGCCTTTTCCCCTTGCCAGATGTTGATTTGCTTCGGCAGTCTAACCGTCAGCATTGCAAAGAATGCAACTGCAGGTCTGAAGGACACTGTTTGCAACTGCAACAACTCATAAAAGGAAATATAGGGGGAAAGGCATTTTGTCTTATCAAATACCATCTAAGTGATGTGGGTAAATTAGTGAACACTTGGCAACTTTGTTTCGGATACAGTCTGCATAGGACTGTATTCTTCCAGCTTGGCAAGGAATTTATCTTGAAGTGCCTAATTCCTATTAATCATTACATAACATAAGTTGTTAGACATTATATATATATATATGTATATCTTGTGGCTCTCAGCACAACACTGGGGGTTGTGAAGAGGACAGTGCAGGGCCATTTACGTTGGGTCTGTGCTGCTCCTGTGCTGAGGGAATCCTCCCTCAGCCCCTTGAGACTGATTAATGGTCCTTCTGTGCCCTCAGAGTGGTTAATAGGGGCTGCAGCGGGGGCCAGCATTGGCCCCAAGAAGTTTCATTTGCAAACAGAGTTTTTAAGTCGCATAGAAAATGTTGTATGAATGTGCCCTAGAGCAAGCTTACGGGCAATCAAAAAAAAAAAAAAGCCAGCATGGAGATTGGGCGGTATTCCCAAATATTGCTGCTCATAAACAAGAAAAATGATAGTGTCACGGTCTCTGGGTAGGCTGCTCCACTGAGACCCTCTTCCCATCGCCAAGTGTGCCCCTTTCAAGTGGCAGGCCCATGACACCACTTCTCTTTGGGGCAAGATCCTACAATCCAACCACTCTCTGTCTGTCTCTCTTATAACCCCTTTTGCCCCCAGTGCTAACTGTGACTAATTCAGCAGGTCCAGCTGGGGTTGGACCCTACGATGGTTTCTCTCTGGGAGCTTGTGACAGTATGTGTTTGCAGTGAGTCAGAAACAGCTTCATCAGAACAAAGTGTGATTTTTATGACCTAAAAGGTACACAGTGCTTGGAGAAGTAGATTTAAAATAACAAAAACCTACCATGGTATTCCCTTATCTAAATTTAACCTCCATTTGTAGCTCAGGCCGGTCTTTTTCCCCATCTCTGAGTTGCAAGAAACAGCCTACACTGCTTGCAGACTTCTCCTTCTGTCTCTCCAGGGTATGTCTACATTGCATTGTAAACCTAGGTCTGTGGGACCCAGGCACGTGGACTCAATGTTTCCAAGCCTGCAAGTGAGTGCCCACACTGCATTGTAAACTTGGGTTTACAATTGCTTCCCACAGCCATGCTAATAAGTCTATGTTGCACTGTGCAGACCTTTTAACTTGGGGCTGTGGCTTGAGCTGCGTCCACATTGCAAAATGACAGGGTTTGCACTTAGGTCACAACAGGAGTTGGGCTGCGACACCCCCCAAGCAGGGTCCTAGAACCCAGATCATGAGTGCTTGCTGACCTGTCAGACTGATTTATGCCTGGACAGAAGGGGGGCTTGGGCTCAAACCGGAGCCACAGCCTGGGCTTCATGTGCAGTGTAGACATACTCTCAGTGAGTCCTCCCAGCCTGTCAGCTTTTTCACGGACGCGTCCTGGTCAGCATCTCTGACCATTTCCCTCCTCCCTTTCTGCCAGTCAGGGTTTTGGGATCTTTTGAGTCTCCTTTGATTCCAGGCTAAGCCTTGGGAAGAGTAAAACATCCTAAACTGGACAGAGCTGGCTATGTAACTTCTCCCCCACAGCTGATGGCCCAGCCATTGTTATCTCCTTTGAAGTTGTGTACATGATGCTGACTTATCTGTGTTGTTGTTTTACCTCTCCTGCTTGGTCCCTCAACAGCCCATGTATGGCCTCCTTTGATTAAACTCTCTGCATTTGGGCAGGCAACAATACATAACTGAACAGGGAAACTAAGTCACACACAGTTCTAGAAAGCAATGCAACCACTTTCCCAGTTCATCACATCTGTAATGGTCACATGCTCAGTCAAGCTATTTTAGGTCATTTTTAGAGAAGTTTTACATATATTAGTTATCATTTTCCTCACTTTCCAATCTCTGTACAGCTGAACTCATGATATTAAGAGCACCTGGCTTCAGAAATGAGGGATAAATAAAAAAGAGAGAGAGACTGAATCAAATTTTAAAAACTGTCCAAACCATTTGTCATTTTTTTCTATAGCAAGGAGGTTGACAACAGTGTTGCTGGTAAGAGCTTAGTGCAACAACATGGGCTTGGTATAGGCAGGGAAATTTTTGTTTTGAGTGCAACTCTTGACTCATGGAAAAATAATCTGAGCGTCTCGGGCTGGTCCCTGCCTTGATCTGCCTTTAGTAAGCGACAGCCTGTTTCCAAATGAGTTCTGAGAAACTTGCATGATAATGTTTTCATCTCCTTTTGAGAGGCAATAGTCATTTGAAGCACATTTTTAAAAGCAGACTCACTATGTGAGTTGTTGGATTTTTTACTTTAAATGTGTGGAATTTGGTGACCATGTGTATCCAAATCCTACCATCAGTACATGAGCACAACTTCCAAGAAGTCAATTTTACTTTAAAAAAACAGTGAGCGGATATGAAATTAAATCAGTACTTTTTAATTCCTATGCTATAAAAGAAGCCTTGTGAATGGGTCAAATACAGTCCAGCTGAAAACTAGTACAGTATGTTGAGAGATACATACACAAAACCAAACCTAAATAGCGAAATTTAGAATGTGGATATGAAATCATTTTGGGTTAAGTTACGTTTTCTGCTACTTTGTTTTGTTTTTAGTTTACCCAAGAGATGTTCCTTTCTGGAAAGGGAAGCAGGACAGAGATATATAACTGTTTTTCAATCCCTTCGTTTACATGGAATAACTTCAAGTAAGTTTATAGTGTGTTTGTGACCTAAGAAGCATTGGCTCACACTTTCAAACTAGCATTTGAAATTACACTCACAAAAATTCAGTGTGTGCAAAAGCCCGATTTATGCACACAGGTGAGCATTTCCATATCAACTAATTATGCAACTGTCTATCTAGCTTACATAGGCACACTGCTTTTGCACACATGCAGAACGCGTAGTGAAAATTAAAAGTGAAAACTTTGGCTCACTTGTAGGAATCAATATTTCAGTGTTTAAAATTAGATTTCTCTGAAATATATGAAAAATATTGGCCCTTGAAATGTACACCATACGGGCGAAGGACAAGTGAATAGGGGATCTTCAGAGCCCAGCAACCTTCCAAATCAATGTCAATACTTACCTGTGGGGTATATATTTTATACACATCTAGTCTAACATTTTTGTTTCCGTACCATTTTATTGAATTTTATCTAGAGGTGCACCCAAATCCCTGGAGCTGACCATGTTAATATGTGCCAATTTCATAACCTTATACACCCTGTGTGGACTAATCCTACCACAGGATAGGGCTATGAAAAAAAATGCACAATTGGATGCAAGCAGGAGTTATTAATATGCAAGTGGCAGTCTGCACACGAACATGTGCACCCTGACCCTGACCACTGAGACCATCCCCAGAATGCCACTCCCTAGCTCCTTTTGTGGATGATTTGCACAACAACCCTTCCATGAATTACGTGGGGAGTCTGAAGTGAGACTGGGTGATGAATTTTTAGTGGACTTCTATGTTTGGATATTCCCACATTGCCATAACTGTTCTCTGTAATATGTCTGCTTTAATTCCTTTTAATAATACAATTTTATTTATCGAACTTTCCCCCCAAATCCCGAAGGTAAGCATCTGGAGGATTTACGACAGATTAACTTCCTCCCGCTGCCATGGCTGACACAGATTCTGTCCAACCATTACCATGCAGTGAGTGGCTTCTACATTGTTCAAAAACTGAAAGTGTTTATATATATTCATTGGAGCTCAGACGGTATCTTATATTTTGTTGTGAGGGAGTGCCTCAAGGCCCCAGTCAGAATATGGGCCTCATTGTGTCAGCCAGGTAATGTACAAACAGAATAACAGATGATCTCCTGGCTTTAAAAAACCTGTAGTCTAATTTTTCCTATGTTAAATTGCTTTGCTTTGGCAATCTTTGCTTCCGAGCTTAAGATATGCTAGTGGATAATATGATATTTTTTTATGCTGTCATACACAAACACCCAGCTGTGCTTTCTGAGAGAGTCTGTTTCCATTAACAACTTCTTAGGGCTGGTCCACACTGGGGCGGGGGATCGATCTAGGAAACACAACTTCAGCTATGAGAATAGCATAGCTGAAGTCGACGTTTCCTAGATCGAACTAAGTTTACTTACTGCGGGTCCACGCGGCGCAGGCAAGCTCCCCCGTCGACAGCGCTTCCTTCTCTCGGCGAGCAGGAGTTCCGCAGTCGACGGGGGAGCGCTTCTGGGATCGATTTATCGCGTCCAGATGAGACGCGATAAATCGATCCCAGAAGATCGATCTCTACCTGCCGAATCGGGCGGGTAGTGTGGACCTAGCTTTAGACACTTCTATTGTTTTGCTATTGGTGGGTTTTTTTCCATATAAGCAGATGGGGACAAATTTATACATGGTATAAGCAGGTATATCTCCCATTGAAGTCAATGGCCTTGCAAAATGGGAAGAGGAAGACCGAGCACAGCTGCATAGAACTTGGACCATTCCTGAGGATGTGCACCTAGTCTGCACTGATTCCTGCTCCCTTAGGAGTTTTGTTGCAATTGGCTGCTCAGGTCAGCAGCTGCATATCTCAAACGCATACTTTCTGAGAAGGGAAAAATGTGTAGGGGAGTTAATGCTACTTCTAACAGAAAATACTGAAATAGAAACTTGAATCAGAACATTTTACCATAACTTTCCGCAACATAAATATACTTGGCTTCATTAAAAAGATCTTTTTTCTATTATGGTCCTGATTCTCCATTGTCTTGCACCTGGTGTAGTTTTTTATACCTGTGTAGTAGGTGTAAAATGCTATTATTCTGATTTGGTAACAAGTTACACTCACTTTACAGCCACTTGGCACAGGTGTAAATGACTACATAAGATGCAAAACAGTGGAGAATTGGGTCCAGTGTCACTAATTGCTTAGTTGTTCCAAACCACTAGGAAGTGGTACAACTGTACAATCTACCATACATTGTCAATGTATATACAGAATACTCATTCCTATGAAGATTGCCTCACTGAGAAAGCAGCAGAAACAGTCATAGGTTCTTTGTGCCTAGCTTTGTGCTTCTTTTATATAATATATTGAATCAATGGACTTCATCAAATGTGGGATATTTTCCTTTCCCTTCAGCTGGAGAATGGTGGTGACATGACATTGCAGAAAGATTTTTCCATGCAAGCTGTGAGATTTGGTCTGCTGCTTAAACAGGTATGTAACAAAGAAATCAAAACTGTATGTTGGGAGCCTTTAGGCTTTGGTGTGCTTCTCAGTGGATACCAGTATTTTTACTCTCAGACTTTTTATTGTAAAAAGGGCAGCTGTTTTCAGATCTGTAATCTATTTTAAATGGGAAAACAAATCAAGTAAGATGAGCTACATTTGTTAGTCTAGTTAGTTTCTTTGTTAGGATAAAGAAAAATATTTTAAATAAATGAGACAAAGTAGAAATGCTAGAATATGTATATTAATTCCAAATCCTATTTTTCATTGTATTCACGGACCTTGAAAAGGGCAGAGGGTGAGCTGGGAATGAGTTGACTTCAGTAGGCATTGGATCAAACCCTATGTAAATTGACAATCATCTATCTAATTTATAGCAGTTGCAGTCCAGTTCCAAATAGGCTAGTGTCTACAAGACCAAATTCGCTGTCATAATTGTCTCTGAAGTAGCCAGTGACTGAATGGACCTGAACATCACTCTCAGACTGAGACACATGTGGGAAGAAGCTTGCACTGGCACTGCCTGTGCTGCATCGGTTTTGTGGGGTTAAATGTCTCACTTACAATTCTGAGGGCTTAGGTAAGGCTTAAGTAATGCATTGGCCTTGTGCTGGCCCTCTGCACTGTGGTGAATTCCACTCTGGATGAATAGACAACTCATTATATGTAATCAGGCACAACTGAAGACCTTCCTTCCTGCTCTACCCTTCCAGGCTAAACTCCTAATGCTCCTCCATCCCAATATGTATCCTATCTCCATACATATTGGAGACACCTTTGAATTTGATGAGCACATAGAAGCAAAGAACAATAAGACACAGACCCCAAACTTCCAAGAGACATCCCCCGAACCTAAAAGTTTCCCCTGCCTTAAAGTCCCCCTTACAACACGTGTGGACCTAGAGCATTATAATTTTTCATGTCCGTATTTGATTGTCATTGCGCTCCTTATAGCTTTCCATTAGTTTAAATATAATTTCACAGTGACTGTATTTTTTCTTTTACATGACAAGCAAAACAAGATAGATTTTTCCTAATAATAGATTTGTGATTTCTGCCCACATATTTTTGAGATTACTTTGGATAGAGTTTTTCCTTTTTAATTGTCCTTTAGGAGCCAAGATATCATGAAGAAATAATTTCCATTTATGGATTCTTCTTTGAGATAAAAGCAATCAGACATGAAGCTTCAGCATACAGCTTTTACATTCAAGTAAGATAAAAGCACCACATGCCTTATGTGAATTCTGTTTATTATTTATCTGATTATTATGTTTATTGTTTATTATGTGTTTATTCTGTTGCATTATGTAAATTCTGACCTTGCTTTAAGGTAATAATTTGAGGTTGAGAATAAAGGTAAACAAATGTAGTGTGAGGGTGTGGGATAGTACAAGCATCTTAATGAGTTTTCTTCCTTCTGACTGCAAAATGATTACCAGTATTCACGTGTCTCTGCACATGATGATTTTAACTAGAACCAGAAGTGGGAATACTAAAATACCACAAACAAAAATATTCACTCTTTTAAGGTGTCAATCAATAATCAGGAAATACTGGAAAATCCATAAACAGTTTATTCTCAAGTGATTTTTCTAGCCCAGTTTTGAGAACACTAGTAGCTGACTATCTACATGAAATATCAGCAGTGTTTCCTGCCTAATAAAACATGTCATCTCACATGGTATCTTCAACAGGGCATATTAGAATGGATATAATCTGGTACTTTATTCTAATCCTTTTTCTCCTAAAGGGCAGGTAATGCTCAGTATAGTCTTTTGGAACACGCTAATACTGGTAGCAAATTGCATAATGAGATGCTGACTGAAAAGTGTTTCATAGTGTACCTGTTACCATTTTAATTCTTCCTTCCCTGTAAGAGTCTGGTTTTAATTAAATGTCAGTTAAATGCCAAAGTGAGAACTTCTCTCCTAGCTGTTTTAAAGTGCTCGGTTCCCTTTATGTTTTGTGGCTTATTATAGATTTGAATCATCAATGTGGTGGTTTAGTTTGTTTAGCAAAATTAACATGGTCAGTAACAATTTCCTGTTCAAATAAGTCCTAGAATATATTGCTAAGTTTGATGTTTGTAAATATTGTGGGTGCAGTACAGAGGACCTAATCCTGCAAGTCTTCTGCATGAGAAACTCCCATTGCTTCCAGGTGATATAGGGCATGATCTTATAAAATTCCCACCAAAGTAAACAGGAATTCTATGCTTGCAGGGTCAGGCCCGTGATTAAAAATGAAAAAGGTACACTGAGAAGTGAATGTAGTAACACTCTGGTCATGCCCCGTCCCATTCCTCCCCTAGCCAGATACTGGGAGCTGCTAGAACAGGCGACATAGGAAACAGCTACACTTGTGCTATACTAGGTGGGGACTTCCTTGAGCTGGGGAGATCCAGCAATTTTCCCATCCCTTTTTGTCACTAAACCAAGACAAAGGGGGCCAAATTATAGTAAAGAATCGAGCCTATTGTTTATTTTATTTTTTGCATGGAAATTTAATGACTTTTCGTAGGACCAAACTCAAACCTGGCATAAGTAACTGAAACACCACTGACATCAGTGAAGTCTCATTCATTTACACAACTCTTAGTTTGGACCAGAGTGCCTTTCATCCAGAAGGATTACAAAGCGCTTTAGAAACTATAGGTCCAAACCAGCAGTCCTTACTCAAGACAAATTCCTAATGTTTTCAAAAGAAGTTTAGACACAGGAAAGACTGTAGTACCAGGTCCTATATACAGAGAAATCATTTCAGTCATCACTGAAACACGTCAGTTGTTTAATAGTGCATAAGAATCTGACAGAGTACAGGCCCTCAGGTCAAGAACTGAAGAATGCCTTGTCCATTTGAAATTACTAAACCAGTTTTAGGCAGGCAAGGGTAATTACCAAGAATTTGGCTCATGAGATATTCTCCACTCCTATTGAAAGTGCCATAGAAACATTAATAACCAGAGCTTGGTTTTACATCTCATCAAGAAGACAGCATCTCCTGAGGGCCATTTGTTCAATACAGAATCAGGAAGAAGAATGTCATCTATTAACTCACCAATATAATTCCATTCAGCCTCTAGAAACAGATATTCTTGGAGGTCTCCCAAGTAATGACCTGGTCAGATCCTGCTTAGATGAGTACTTGCTGTGATCCTGAAGATTTAAATCTCAAATACCCAAAAGTGGAATGGATGTATATTTGAGTTGGTTCTCTAATAAACAAATGGCATTACCATTATATTGCATATTTCAGATTTTTAACTGACTTGGATGTAATGTCTTTTCAGAGAGTCAAACAAACAGACCCAGCTTTATCTTTTTTTACTGCTGAACGTAGCCCTGTCAGCCTTAGGCAGGAGCGAGAAGTTAAATATGAAATAAAAGCACAGTGCCTGATGGATGGGAAATGGAGAGAATTCAGTACTGATCAACTTACCCAAAAGTTTGGCGTTACCAAACCATCCTGCAAAAGCCAAGTAAGTATTTTTTAAAAATATAAACTCTGCCATGCGTAGCCTTGCTATTTCTAAAAGTTGATATAGAATTCATGTAAAACAAACATTCCTCAGATTCAAAAAGCTCAGACATTGACATGATACTATTTCAAAGTGATACACGAGACTGAAAAACCCAGTAGAAATGTGTGTGAATTCCAAAATATAAAATGCTGACAAATGCTTTAGAAACACTGGACCTGATCCAAAGTCCATTGCAGTCAATGGAAAACCTCCCATTCTGATTTTACATTATTAAATACCGATGACAAACATAATGGCATTTGTGCCCAAAGTGGAACACTTTGCCATTGATAGAAACACGCAAGGTTCTGTCTGCAAGTACGTCTTAGACATCACCACCAGTGTCTAGCAGTTTGTTTAAACAGCTGCCTCATATAGACTGCTGACTTGCGTTCCCTTTTGGCATATTTATTTCTTCATCCTTTTCCATTTATACTTGGCAATCTAGGTAACACAATTAACTAACTTGGGGCTTCCTAATGGTTGCATAGTATTTACAAAATTACAGTTGGTTAATATGGTATCAGCATAATCTTCTTAACGTTTAAATGTTCTGGTCATCAATGCCAGTATTTCTAGCAATCCAGTCCTTAACTCAAGTCGCCCCATAAAAAATGGTTTTATCCAGGGTCTGATTCTGGGAAGTGTTGACTTCCCTCAACTCCCACTGAAATGAGTGGAAATGGAGGGAGCTCCGCCCCTCTCAGAAGTGAAATGCATCAGGCAAAGGTGAGGCCTAATGGAAATTTTTAACTGGTTAACCCAGCAAAATAAATCACTCAAGCAGTAGTAACAGTCTATGCGAATCAAATGTTTAAAATGGTGAGTGTATTTCTTTCCTTAATCTTACTTCAAATGCAGGTTAAACCAAAGCCATTCACAAAAGGAAATTGGCCAAATTATTATGTTGTGTTACACATGAGCAACCAGGTTGTGGATGTAACTGAAATCAGAATTTATGCTAATACACCTCTACCCTGATATAACACGAATTCGGCTATAACACGGTAAAGCAGAGCTCGGGGGGGGGCTGCACACTCCAGCGGATCAAAGCAAGTTCGATATAACGCAGTTTCACCTATAACGCGGTAAGATTTTTTGGCTCCCGAGGACAGTGTTATATTGGGGTAGAGGTGTACTTTGTGTTTATATAACATGCTTTATAAACATTAATTAATCCACAGCCCCCCTATGAGGTAAGTTAATACCTCATTTTACAGATTGAGGCATAGCCAGTTTAAGTGACTTGCTTGAGGTCACAGATGTGGTTAGCGACAGAGGCAAATGAAACCCTCATGTGCAGACTCCTAGTCCTGTGAACTAACCACTAGACAAAATAGACAAATACATTTATAGTGGTATTAGTCAGGGCCGGCTCTGGCTTTTTTGCCGCCCCAAGCAAAAAAACCTTCAGGGCGGCCGGAGCGGCAAAGCGCGCACACACACAAAAAAACACCTGCAGGGCAGCCAGAGCGGCAAAGCACAGACACACACAAACCCCTGGAGCAGCAAAGCAGAAAAAAAAAAAACCTGCAGGGTGGCCGGAGCCAGGGTGCAGGGGGACTCCCTGTGCTGCAGACGTGCAGCGGTGTGCGCGCCCAGTCTATCGGGGAGGAGGGAGAGGGAGCGTCGGGGAGAGAGAGGAAGGGGCGGCCAAGGCTTCAGCGGGGTGCTTGCCACGCGGCCCCTCCCGCTGCGCTGCCTGCCAGGGGGGCTCCGTGCCACTCCGGTCACCCGGAGGGAAGGACGCGGGCTGCCCTGCCGAGTTTGCTGCAGGGTGCTCCCCTCCTCCGCCCCCTACAGGGCGGCCAGAGCTGCAAACCAAAAGAAAAAAGAAAAAAAATGGGCGGCCGGAATGCCGCCCCTTGGAATCTGCCACCCCAAGCACGAGCTTGTTCGGCTGGTGCCTGGAGCCGGCCCTGGTATTAGTACAGATTATACTCCACGTGCAGTATACCATGTTCCTGGGAAAACATGGGAATAGGTTGTTCCATGTTTAGATTCTAGAGCTTCCTTTAGCAAAAAGTCATTTAAAAAACATTTAAGGTTCATCTTCAGGCCTCTATGTCATGACTTTTTGCTTTTTATTCAGAAAACAAAAGTATCTGTTCACTCTGCCTTCAAAACCTAGATTCCAGGTACAGATAATACATTCTTTGCCCCTCCCAAGAAAGCACAGTGACCAGATTTACTCCTTACTCATTTAAAGGGAAATTGCCTCCTCAGTAGAAATTCAAAGAAATAGTTTTGCAATTTTTCTGCTGAAACAAGCACTAAACATGAGTCATTTTGTAGTTAACTAATTATGGTGTTAGATAAATACTCCAATGTTAATTTTGGTTTGGTTTTGGGTGTAGGTCTTGAAAGCACGAATACCATCAATTCCAGTCTATGTGACATATGCTCTTCTTTTTCCATCATCTTGATTTGCTAAAAGAAAATAAGCTCTAGAGTTTTCTTTCGCCTGAAGAACTGATTTCAGCACTTGATATTATCAGCAGAGGCGAATCGTGTACTTTAAGGGTACAGGCTGCTTAGCCAACTAACCACATTTGTCATAGTATGAAAATAAACTGCAACCTTTCCTTGTGTCATGCTCATTTCAGGATTAAATTCTATCAACTGCCTGTTTCTGTTCTCCATAAATTATAACTGCAAATTGGCAATTTCTATTTTATTAGACATGGACTCAAATTACAAAATCTAGCTCTAGACTTCAAACAGAAAGTTTGGGGGTGTTCAGACCTGGGTTTTCCCACAGCTCCATGGTGTATTTCTAGCTTTCCATTATTGAATAATACTTTCCGAGTTGGCTGCAACTATGTGAAAAAGCTGTTGCTTCTGCAAACCATGAATGAGACTAAGGTAGGTCACTAGTACCAATTAATCGCTACAATTTCTACATACCACTTCTGTGCTCTATATCATCGCCTAATCCTTAGTCATATCCCTGGGTGCAACAATGTTGTTGCTTGCAGTCTAGTGCACAGTTTTCATTAGCTTTTGTGAGCCAGAAATAAGAGTACCACCCAATCATTTTACCACCTCCATTCATACTGGACAATATATTGGCTGAAAACCTGGCTTTGTTGAAGTCGATGGGAATTTTGTCACTGACTTCAATAATGCCAGGATATCACCCCCCCCCCCACATCCCCACTCTGGCACCCTTATGCCATGTAAAAGGGCTGGCTGGAGCAACGTAAAGCCCTGTATCCTTGTAAGCCTCTGTACAGGACTGGGGTGGAGCTGGGGTGCTACAGCACACACTGTGGGCGGTAGAGCAGCCTGGAGTGGCTGCCAGAATTCAGAAAGATACCCAGAGCAATCTAGGATATGTCATGAGCCTTTCCAGACGCCAAAACTGCCCGGTATCAGGTCACAAGGATGGCTTACAGCTTACTCCACCCCCTCCTCTGGGCAGGTGCAGCCCAGAATCTCAACCTTGGTCTTTAGTCAGCTAAAATCAAATGTAATGGATCTCAGCTAACCTTATTAAATCCACAAGCTGAGTCTAAACTACATGTTTTGATAGGATGTTTCCAGCATTGTCCATTAGAGAGTTTTTCTTCTCTCCCACACCAGTCTGTTTTAACATACCTCTTGATGAGAATATACATTCAAGATGCTTTATGTAGCAGTAGTGACTTGGTTTTCAGGTTATTTATATACAGTAAAACAACAGGTGCTGTAGTCTCATGAACAAGTCAGGGACTTGAAGACAGTAAGCCAATTCTGCTCTCATGAACATCAGTGGAGTCACTCCATATTCAACCTACTGACTCTCAGGTATTACTCCCGGCTCTGTCAACCATTGTTTACACCACAAAGCTTTTCCTAACCTTTCCTACTGTGGTGACCAGCAGTTCAGCTCCAACAATAGTAACAACAATGGGAGCATTAGTGTAGACAAGGTACTAAGATCTGCTGGTGTTTTAAGCACTGTGCCACATAGAGCTGAGAATGGTAAGGTGACAAAGCACTTAAAACACGGGTGTCTATTCTACACTAGCACTTCCATCTCTGAACCCCACTGGTGGAACAGAACCAGTAGCAGAAACAGGTTACAGTATTACTGTACACATTCATAGATAAAATACAGGCAAAAATGTTACATACAGTACCTAACCCACAGTAGTAGTCAGTGCCTGAACTGGGATTCAAAACTATGGATGAGATCCTCACTCCTGCTCCAGCCTCTTTCCTCCAGCTAAAAGGCCCAGAGGGGCTCTAAAAGCCTCACTTCTAGCAGGGAGATGATTCCCCTGGAACAGAAGCTATGAGAGTTGTAAGGCTGTGGAAAATCCAGTCAGCATTGCTACCCTTAGGGCTCCCATCATTTATATAGGGCACTGGGGCTAAATTACACTGTGGGCTTCTACAGGTCTTTGAGAAGCCCAGGATCAGGAGGGTGGTAACGGTGGCTTAATGCCACCTTATCCCCCTAAAAGGCAAGATCTGTATTGTGCATCTCAGAGATGCAGCACAGAATCTTACCCGAAAGATTCCTTCGTGCCCCATCCTGTGATCAGACAACTAGCCCATGTCTGTATGAAAAAACAAGAGAGTGCTAACAATTATGAAATCATGCCATGGGAGAATAATGTTGCTTATTTGTCAGAAAATACATCTCTGAGGAGTTTTATTTGATTCTCACACACACTGTCCCCATTATAATCCGCCTCTTTATACAATGTGACCCAATGGCATCTGCAAAGTTCTTGGCATCTCGAAACAGCTATGAATAGATCACTGTGTATTTCTGATTAAGTCACTTCATTTGTAATTCCGGTCAGACTTGCATTCCTGTAAATACATTTACTCTCATGATTTTCACTACATAAAATACAATTTTCTTGCAATTATGGGGGGCAGGAAAACATTCTTTTTAAGACCATCTCCACAATTCTACAGCATGAGGTTTATTTTATTTTGGCTAATACACATGGAACCGCCTGTTTTTTTGTATTTTCTCCCTACACAAAATCAAAAAATATATATAAATATTTCAGCTATCTTATATTTTTGTCAAGTATCAGGGGGTAGCCATGTTAGTCTGTATCTACAAAAACAACAAGGAGTCTGGTGGCACCTTAAAGACTAACAGATTTATTTCGGCATAAGCTTTCGTGGGTAAAAACCTCACTTCAGATGCATCTCCTTGTTGCTTATATTTTTGCAGTCCCTTCTGTAAAGGGATGGCTGAGTCTTTCGGTCTAAACTTTTTCTGAGAACTCTACAATAAATCCTTGTTTAGTTATCAAATAGTGAAATATAAACATTGGCTCATTTTAATGAATCATCTTGTTACTCAAGTGCTTTCTTCCATTGTGATCCAGTATTTTATCCATTATAGTTTCTTTATGTTCCCCTTTATCCTAAAGAATTGCCTAATGAGCTAAAATAAAAATCAAGAAGTATTGATCCTGCGGGGATGCGGATAGCTGGGAGACGACTGGGCATACACGCTGATCTTTTTCAACATACTCGTAAACAAAAATCTTCATTAAAGGAGAGTTAAGGTTGAATGTGCATATCAGTGGAGTCCAGCGAACACCCTGGACAATATTGTAATTTCTTTACAAAAAATCCACAATTAATTAAAAAAAAATTACAAGGCCAGAGCCTCTCCCCTCCAAATTCACTTTGTGCTACTGAAGTAGCAAAAATTAACTTGAAAGCTGCCCTATTAGGTCACCACAGATTCAGCTCTTCCCATGTTGCAGGAGAGAGCCTTGGGGAGTTGTTAGGAGACAGAGTTGAGCCACTGTGTAATGTATTCCACCAATCCCCAGACAGTGGACCAGTCCCTAGGGGATCCTTTCTAGCTGCTGTGAGTTAGTTAAGCCACTAGTTTGCATTAGCTGTGATGTTTAAAAGAAAAGTAAAGCTAAGGGTGTTTCAGCAAATGCAACTATACTAAGTTTATGGCAAGGGTCAGCATGTGATTGTGGGAAATTGCAGGAAATATGATGTAGTTACTGAGAGAATGCAGACAGATGTCAGAGATATTTTTGTATTTGTAAACAAACAGTGGAACACCCAAGCCAGGTCTTTGCAAAGTCTAGTGGAAAAATATCCGTCAGCCAAGTGAAGGAAAACAAACTTGAATCACACAGCAGAAATACGTGCTGTTTTCTTGATCTTTTCCTAGACCTTGGGGCGGGGGAAGCATTTGAGTGTCTGGGAGATAGGGATGACATACTTTGTTCTTTAATCATTTCAAGAAAAAAAATCTGCCATATATATATTTGCAAAGGTACAATTTCAGCATCATCACGTTCTTCCAAAATGATACCTAATCCTTTCCTTTTGTTTTCTCTTATATTTTTGGATACTCACCCGCCCACCCCCACCACTAATCTCTCTTCTTTTTACATCTTTCCCACATCCGTCTGCTCAGCTACTCCCATCTCTTCCCCCATCTGCTTTGCACTTGCCTGCTCAGTTTCTTTATTCCCTTCAGCCACCCTTGACCTCCCTAACACTCAAAAAGTCTTCTGTGTATTTATGACGTTCGTAACCATTGTCACTATTTCAATATTTTTCCTGTTATTCCTTCCCTATTAACCTAAGTAGTTCACTAGACACAGTAATGCCTTCTTAACCCTAGGGTCTTATTCTGCCACCATTAGGCTATGTCTGCAATTAAAAGCCAGTGGCTGGCCCATGCCAGCTGACTCAAGCTAAGGAGTTTGGGCTAAGGGGGTATTTAATTGTGGTGTAGATGTTTGGACTTGGGCTGGAACCCAGACTGTAAGACCCTGTGAGGTGGGAGAGTCCCCAAGTTTGGGCTGCAGCTCAAGCCCGAATGTCTATACCGCAGTTAAACAGTTCCTCAGCCCAAGCCCCATGACCAATGCTTAATTTGTGCCAGGACTTGCCAGGGCTGAGCCCAAGCATCTCTGGGGCTATAAAAAATTGTAATGTAAAAAAATTGCTTGTGCCCTGACACCTAATTGCTTGAGCCTCGGCACCTTTTTCATTACAAATTAAGCACTGCCTGTGACCTCAAATTAGCTTCAGATTTTTAATTGGAGTATAGACATACCCTTAGTTATGCTGAGATTTCAGTTACTTGTAGTTTGGTAGCTTTTATTGCCAGGAACTTTTCTCTTTATCTCGTGGCATTGAAGAAATTATTATTAATGATTAATAATAAGACTTTGTAGTTCTGCAATGTTGCCTTTCAATGCCTTCTTTGTTCCATTTTAGGTCATGACTCATCTTACAGGTGGGTGAGGTAATATCTTTTACTGGACCAACTTCTGTTGGTGAGAGAGACAAGCTTTCAAGCTTACACAGAGCTTTTCTTCAGGTCTGGGAGAAGTACTCAGAGTGTCACAGCTAAGTACAAGGTGGAACAAATTGTTTAGAATAAGTAGTTAACACATATTGTAAGAGACCATTCAAGATGAGGTGGCCAGTTAACACCTAAGAATATAAGAATGTGCGTAGTTGGTCAAACGGGTGGTCCATCTAGCCCCGTATCCTGTCTTCTGACAGTGGTCAATGTCAGATGCTTTAGAGGGAATGAACAGAACAGGACAATTATCATGTGATCCTTCTCCTGTCATCCAGTCACAGCATCTGGCAGACAGAGGACTAAAAAGGGTGGTCAGTGGGATACAGATTATTGTAATAAGCCATAAACCCATTGTCTTTATGTCCATGATTTTTAGTGTCTAGTAAAATTATGAATTTAAACTCCCATGCTCATCTTTTGAAGCTGTTGTACAGGTTTCCTTTGAGGACGAGGCAGAGAGGTCACATATGGAGTGATTGCTTTGTGAAAAGTGTTTGACCAAGGGTGAGATGGTGTTTTTGTCTTTTATCATTTTTCTTTGTAAGTTCATTCAAGTGTAATGATTGTCTGGTTTCACGCACATAGTTGTTACTGGGACATTTAGTGCACGGGGTGAGGTACACCACATGTTGTGTTAGGCATGTTTGAAGACCA